GGACATTATAAAGTTATAGACAGTGCCTACTCACAAAATTACTATTATTTTTTTAAATAGTGTCAAAAACGCTATCAGCAATACAAATATACATACATAATAAATATACTTAACGTATACAAATCGATATTAGTAATCATTCACATTATAAAACCTGTAAATTAAGTCTTATTAAAAATTACAAATATATAGGCATAATTTCTTCGTTTTCGTAAACAAAAGCCGTGTGCGTTGTGGTAGTATTAATTACATATCAGTAGCGCGTTTTTACATGAAACACTACACCGACAGCGGAGAGCCGTAAGTTTGAGTTGACTCTGATGTCGTTGAACCAACAAACGAAGGGTACTGGAAATGTTCAGACATTTTTGTGTTTTGTTTTTACCAAGAAAAAGATTATAAATATCCATCATTAAAACTAACTACTACTATTTTCGTAATCCATATTTAATAATAATAATAAAACTGTAGAGATCGAAAAAAAAATGCTGAAAACCGAGCTCGGGGGATGTAAGAAGAGAAATAGAACAAATGTAGATTTTTTTAAATTTTTTGCTTCTCTGTCTGCTTGTCTGTTTGTACGGGCTAATCTCCAAAACTGTTGGTCCGATTTACATAAAATTTTGCATTGTGGTATCTAATATCGCCGGTCAACATTTTATATACTCTTCATCCCGAAAAATTATAGAGTTGCCGTGGAATAGTTAAAAAACTATAGTAACTTATACAGCTTATTATACAACAACTTAGGCACCTAATTTAGTAAAATTTGGCATGCTGATACCTTATATTGCCGGAAGAACAACATGTTACTTTTTATCCCGGAAAAATAAACGGTTCCCGTGGGATAGATCTGTTTGTGTTTTCCTAGAGACGAAAACGAGCGAAGGGAGGGTGAACCGATAGTTATTATTATAAATTTGAAAGTGTCTTTGTTTGTCTTTCTTTCACGCCAAAAAGAGCGAGGAATTGATGTGATGTTCTGTCTTGAGCTCAGAACAATGATATACTCGTTATAATAAAACATATACATACACAGGTAATTTCAATTGGTATAGATTTCGGCATGGAGATAACCAAGTCAAAGGTGAATTTCTATACATGTATGTAAATTGAAAATGATACTTCTATTTCATATTACTATATTTTTAATATAAAAAAATATAAAAGTAATAAAGGATTTTTTTTTCGTTTTAATGGCTAAATTTCAAATTCATTAATAAATACGATACTTGATTGGAATTTTAATAGTAATAATAAATAATTTAACCAATAAAAATAATAAAATAAAAATAAAAATAGAATTGCTGCTGTCTGTGTATACCCTTATCCAACATATCATTTTACTAGTGGGAAAAAGCAAAAGATACCGCTTACAAAACGCCACTTAACGAGTATTGATAACAAACAATAAGTGAAATTTCTGATCACAATTCTTTAACAGAGCAAAATTTGTTCAATTGTATTGAAAACGTCCGTACGTGACTCACATAATGACCACTCTCGCTCAATTTTCAGGCCCAAAACGTTTAATTTCCCTCAACGTTTTATTAAAGTTATTTTTAGTTCATTTAACAACAGCGACTCGTGTGTCTGGCATTGGATATTATAATTTATGACACTTATAAAGGACAATATATCTTTTGTGTGAATCCATTAAATGTTTATCTATTTGATCAACCTACGTTAAGTTCAAGGCAATTATATGAACTATCGTTTTAAATATAGATAAATTTCAAAATTATTTCTATATTTCTGTTAGCGTATTTATTCATCACATTGCAAAGAGTGAAAATATTACGATAAGATTTTTGGTACATCTAATCAGATTTTATAAAATTTCAAGTTAAAAAATCCTTGCACTATAGAATTTGATTTAAAAGTCTCAAATACGAGTAAATCCGTGGAAAAACTTAAAGCTATGCTTATATAAGATGAAGCTTGTATGTGACTGCTTCAAATTTTATACACGACTTGCAATTCTTAAACAGTCTTATAGCTTACTTTTTTACTATACTTTATTAATAGCCACTTTGTATGTGTTCCAATAGTGTATATTGTTTAATATGTTTTTTTTCTTATTAGTTTTTAATATTAATTGTATCATTTTTTAAAATAAATTTTGTTCTTTTTTTTATTTTCAAGATTATTTTTTTAGCATTCTAGGATAGCTCCTATTTTTTATTCATGCATATCAGACAGTTAATATAATGTTAAATTAGTTCTGCCATTGCATTGCCATAAACGAAGAATCAAAATATATAAAAGTCTGATAAGGTGATAATTTTAAATTCTGAGAACGAAACGTAATATAAATTAATTTTAATAAATAGTATTTTATGAAAAAAATCATATTCACTTAGTAAATTCATAACACGTATATCGCCAAAATATAAAAATATTTTCTGCGGCCAAATCGATTGTCTAATGAGTCATAGTTGACAGGGGAGTGCACTTGGCACTTCGGCCTGTGATGGATGAGACTTATCCCACAATATTTATGTCACTTTAACGGCCTATAAAATTCTTGCAAAGTAACACATATTTTATATCACACTAGCATTGCCCGCGGCTCCGCCCGCGTTCTGATGACCAAAAACCAAATTCTTAGGTTTTACATATTAGTATACATTGCAGTTTTTGTATTTTTTCTCTGAAATGAGATATTTTCCCGTAGTAAAAAGTATCCTATATGTTGACCCGGAAAACCAGCTATCACCATACCAAATTTCATGAAAATCCCTTCAGTGGCTTTTCTGTGATGCGGTAACAGACAGACAGACAAAAATTCTAAAAACTATAGATTCGGCCTTTGTATCGAAAATAATGTTTATTTCAATAACATTTTCAAAAATATATGATGTACAGATTCGGCTTGGTTAGAATTTTATTATATGTATAGATTTACACTGAAAGTGATGTTTTATAAACTTTTAAAGTAATGTCGAAAATGATTTACCGCGTATATCCTAATTTGAAAAGGAAAATAACTAAAATAGCCTTCTATAAGTCCATACGAAATGTCGTTAGTAGTATCTATTGTAGAATTGAATTCGAAATAACAATTTATATTATGTTCAATCTATAGAACAAAAAACGAAAAAAAAACACATATATGTATGTGTTTTTCAGTTCTTTAGCTTAATCCTCCAAAGGCTAAAGTGATTTTGGAGAAATTTTATATATAATAGTATAGTAGTTTAAGAAATTAATAATATATTATTTTCTTAAACCTTTAATGCTTTACATGTATATTACTAGCAGAAACCGCAGCTTTGCTCGCGCTAAACTACAAAAAAATATCTAAAAAGGTAGTTTCATACAAACTTTCATCCCCTATTTTACTCCATTATTGGATGAATTTCGAAAAGTGCTAAAACACGTATTTATTTAATTTTCTTGAAGAACATGAAGAGCAAGTTTCAAGTAATTCTGATCATAAATAATTTTTGGGTTGTATTAAACGTTTTCCCGTGGATATGAGACAATCTCTCGCGGTAAAAAGTAGCCTATGTCGTTTTCCAGCCTTCCAACTATCACCACACAAAAAATCACGCCAATCCGCTCCTTTGTTTCGTGAAAGAAGGACAAATAAACAAACAAACCCACTTTCACATTTATAATACCTATTAGTATGGATAAACTCATTATATATTATACCGCGTATATTCTATACATATAATAATAATATGTTCAGCCCTGCAAAACTGCAAAATTTAATTCGCAAGTCGCTCATCTACATCTATTTCTATAAATAGAATAAAACAAAGTCTCTGTGTCTGCTTTTATCTGTTTCTCCTCAATCTTCTTCTAAATCACTCAATGGATTTTGACTTAGTTTACATTAGTATAAAGAGCGATAAACGATGACAGTGTGTGTGTACAATTTGTAAATATTTTGTACAAAATAGCTGAACTATATAAGTTAGGATAAGTCGATAGTAGGATATAATAAAGAATGTCGTAATAATAGAATTCACAAGAAAAATAATTTACTAGGTACATATATTAAATTTTATATTATTATGCGATACTTGGGTCAAGATATAGAATTAGAATTCCTAATTCCAAGAAAGGAAATATATGCCGTGGAATAGAAAATGGGAGTTTGCATATTTCTTGGGAGATAATGTATGTATTTCGATGTTATTTCATATGATAAAGTTTAATACGGAAGAGGGGATGAAGATAAAAAATACGTAATAAAATACGTAATAACGTAAATTTAAAAAAATCGTAGTTAGTAGAAACATAAGCGAATTTTAATTTCCTCGTTCGTCCCTTAAACTTAAAAGCTCCATAACTCTGTTAATTTTGACCGGAGGAAAAAAAAGTCATGATATTTTTTTGATGTAAAATTTTAAGCTCTACACATTTTTGTCAAAACTTTTTTATCTAATTTTTACCGTTTTCGAGTAATTGCAAAAAAACATTTTGACAATTTTTTTTCAACCCTTGCCGGGGGTTGCAGACACGGAAACCTTTACACATTGTTTTTGTATCATTAAAACTACATTATATCAAAAATGCAAAGTTGAGTGCTGTTTTTTGATTTCAGACCTTATTTGACTGGACTATATATAATATTGCCTACGCTGAATTTCCTTTAAGATAGTACCTAATATCTTAATCATTTACGGTATTAGAGTACCTGCTTTAGTATTTAAAATAATGTACAGACAAGATGTATCTACGATTTTTTTTAAATTATAAAGGTAGATAGAGTTATAGATATCTTTCCTTTCGTGGAAGAGCCCTTTAATTTGAATTTCTACAATAATAACACAAAAGTAACTTTATAACCAAGCAATTATCTTAATTTGTATCAAAAGTAATGTATTAGTTTCCGTGTAAGAAAAAAATTAAACTATTTTCACTTGTCCCCGGATAGTTCCCGGGGGTTGCTTTATATTTTTTTTAATGACAGGTGGTATAATTATTATTATCAAAGGAATTATATAGTAGGTTCACCTGCTCAGTGATAGGTTCAGTTACTGCAGATGCTGAGGCCCTGGGTTCGAGTGACTGTTTTACTGAGATTTTCTGTTAAGATATTCTCCGTAGTGGCCCGGAGTTGGGAAGTTGGCGGTGTTGATCCCCCGTGCCTCGGAGAGCACGTAAAGCCGTCTATCCTGCGCCTTAACGCCTCACCGGTCGTGTCGAAGTATCGTCCCACGCCCTCTATTCCCTCTCTCCTCTTGCCTTTCTATTCCTTTTACTTCGAGAGTACAAGGAATAGAGAGTGCTCGTGTGTCTGCGCGTACACTTATGCTCTATAATATCTCCTGCGCATCTGGCTAGTCTCAGTTAGATTGGCTGCCGTGGCCAAAATCGCTCAGGAGAACATTATCATTAGCATTATTATCAGGTGGGCACAATATTAAGCATTACTTCAATGTTCCTTATGGGTAACTGATAGAGTGCATAATATGCCATATTTCTTGAAAATTCTTTCGGATACATATTCTAGTTACGCATAAATCAACTAGCGGACGAAGCGACGGCCAATGTTATTTCTTTATACCCGTATACACCTATATATTTATTTGTAAAACCAAACAATAAGTTTCTTAGAAATTTTTCGTCATCAGCTACAGAGCGCTTTGCACTGTATCTACAATAAATTATTTTAATGCTAAATTCATAATGATGTCAATGTAACATTTTATTTATTACTTTATTTTTTTCGAAATAAATATTTGCATAAGTTCGTACTCGACGTAGAACACTCAAAGTATAATGTGAGGTTTATTTTTATTTTAGTAGTGATCTAATTAAATTAATTCATCCTTTAAATAATAATTAAATCAATGAAATAACTAAAATTTCTCATATTTTAATTACTTTCGTAGATAATTGTATTTTAAGCACTTACTATTTCAACTAACACGCGTGTTATTGCTCATTATATTTCGTCGCTTCATTCTTCAGATATTATTTTTACCCTGTAGTCCCCTTTCCTTGCGCTAGCAACTACGCACGTCTTTAGATAAGTTTTTTAAGTACCTACATTTTTTTTTTTTTTTTTTTGTGTTTACCCACGTTTTAACTATTTCAACTTCGGTTTTTGATCGTGTAGTTTAGCCATTCCTTTTTCGTGCGCAGCAACGAACGGACGTCTTCAATATACTTCGTATACGTGTAGTATAAAGTGTTACTATGCCAAAACGTAAAACTAAAGATAAGATTGAATATTATAAAAGCAAATTACGAAAGTTGGAAAACAAAAGCCGTCGTCGGATAAGATGCCTATCGCCTTCATCGGATTCGGAACAAGAAACAAGAGATACAAGTAAGTACAAGTTTCATCTATAAATTGGTGCTTAAGTCCTTATAAATGGTACTAATAGTATTTAAATAGTAATAATTATATTAACTATGATAAAAACGCCTGGAGAATGTCCGAGATGGCATTACAAAGGCTAATTAAGTTAATAATGCCTAAAGGTTACCCGAGATGGTAACATGACGGTTAATTTATACCGGGAGGTTATCCGTGATGGTAGCACGAAGGTTAATTTGTACTGGGAGGTTATCCGAGATGATAACACAATAGTTTTTAAAATAAGACAGTTATAATTTCTATAAATTAGAATCGCAGATAATGCTGTTCTTATATTTATAAAGTAAAAGTTAAGACTACCCACATGACAGAGAAAAATATTTCCAGATTCAATTGGAATTGGGGATCCCGTAACTATGAGCTCGGTTATTGACGCCGAGCCTGGGACATCAATGGAAGCACCAAATGAAGGGGTTACTGGTCCTGAAGTCTGTATGAATTCACCGGGCGATAACAATGTGGCGAATTCTTCAACTGTTCCCGTTTTGGATCCAAGTATTTTGGCAGCATTAGGGGAAATCACGGACGAAACCCCAGAGTTTGGTGAGAAAATTCACGAAAGCCTCGTAAAAATATGGTCACCTTTGTTAAAACAAGGTATGTCGAAAGATAACAGGGAGGTACTCTTGAAAAACTATTTAATCCCAGAGAATTGTACTTGGCTTCAAGCGCCAATACTTAATCCGGAGATTTCTGCAGCTATACCCGAATCAGGTAGAGCTCGGGATAAGAAAATGGCCGCTACCCAACGACAATTGGGCGTGGGTATTACTGCAATTAACCGAGGTTTGCATTTGCTTATTAACGATGGAAGCAAATTGAGGCTATAAAATTTATAAGTGACGGATGTAGAATTTTATCTGATTTACATCATCAAAATACTGAGACAAGAATCAAATTTATACTCCCTGGCCTCGATAAATCTTTTTTACAATTTTTAGAACGCACCGAACGCGACAATACGCTGTTCGGTAGCGATCTCTCAGAAAAAATAAAAGCCTCTAAGACTATTGTCAAACAAGGTGAGCTGATTAAGAAAGCTTTGCCTCCGCCAAAGCCTTCCACTTCCAATAATTCTAGAGCGCAACCAAACGCTAACCGGTCCAGCTACCAGGGAAACTGGCAGGGACCTTCTCGTTCCCAGCCGAACAGAGGAGGGGGGCGAGGAGGTCACAAGCGGACCAGCTACCGCATTCCAACTTCTACCAGCCAGTCGAAGACCAGTCACACTTACAAGCCGCGTGTCTCAACGCGACGTCAGTGACCCAGGTACATGCAGGTAGAATTCAATTTTATTATAATTGCTGGACAAAAATAACGAACAATAGGACAGTTCTTAGGTGGATTAACCAAGGTATAGATATTCCTTTTATCAAAGATGTAATCCAATATAATTTCGCCAAGACGAGTTGGTCTAACAAAGAAAGACGTGATATGACAATCGCCATTAACAGACTCTTAGGTCTGGGTGCCATTAGCACCTGTAAACCGGTGAAAGATCAATTTATTTCTCGAATATTCTTAGCACCTAAGGCAAATGGTGAAAAAAGATTTATTTTAAATCTTAAATTATTAAATAAGTTTATAGAAAAAATTCATTTAAAATGGAAGATCATAGGACAGCGTCGAAGCTTATACCCAAACATGGTTTTTTGGCCTCTATAGATCTAAAAGAAGCTTACTTATTAGTTCCCGTCATGAAATCTTTTCGTAAATACCTGCGTTTTGAATTTGAAAATGATAAATCCGATATTATAACGTACGAATTTAATGCAATGCCTTATGGTCTTTCCATTGCCCCTAGGGTATTTACCAAAATTATGAAGGAAGTTATGACCTATCTTAGACTTCAAGGTTACAAATCAATCATATACCTTGATGACATGTTATGCATAGGAAAAATCTATACCGAGTGCCTTAGTAACGTCAAGGAGACTTTAAGAATATTAACTTGCCTTGGTTTTGTAATAAATTATAAGAAGAGTTCATTAATACCTGAACAAAGTTGTAAATATTTAGGATTCATTTATAATACCACTAATCTTTCTATATCGTTACCTATTGAGAAACGTCACACTATAGCACAGCTTGTTAAAAAATTCTTAAGTTTACCCCCTTGTACAATTAGGGAATTAGCTAATTTGATTGGTGTACTTACCGCAGCATGTCCCGCCGTTAAGTACGGTTGGTTATATACAAAAACACTAGAGCGTCAAAAATACCTTTTGTTGAAAAAATTTCAAAATTATGACTGCAAAATAAATCTAGAAAAATGCATAATTAATGACTTACAATGGTGGTTACTAAATATATTTAAAACTTCTAACTTCACTAAAATTCCAGATTTTAAATTAGAGATATTTTCGGACGCATCACAAACAGGATGGGGAGCTTATTGTAACGGCAAACGAGCTCATGGATCTTGGAAAGAGACCGAAAGTCATTGTCATATTAATTACCTCGAATTATTAGCTATTTTTCTAGCATTAAAAACCTTCGCTAAAGAATTATCAGACTGTGCTATATTGTTACGAGTTGATAATAATACAGCTTTAAGTTATATTAATAGAATGGGAGGAATACAATATCCTCATTTAAACGACCTTACTTTTAAAATTTGGCAGTGGTGTGAGAAGCGAAATATATGGATATTTGCGTCATATATTAATACTAAAGAAAATATTGAAGCGGATGCAGAATCAAGAAAAATTAACCCTGATATAGAATGGAGTTTATCAGACAAAGCTTTTGAAACTATTTTGTGTAAATTGGGTCAACCTGAGATTGACTTATTCGCTTCTCGCATTAACGCTAAATGCGAAATATATGCAGCCTGGTTTCCCGATCCAGATGCATCTTTTGTCGATGCATTTACCATTAACTGGAAACATAAATTTTTTTATGCTTTCCCTCCATTTTCGTTAATACCAAAATGTCTTAATAAAATAATAAACGATGAAGCGTGTGGTATATTTGTGTTTCCATGGTGGTCGTCACAACCATGGTTCCCCATATTGAGAGAATTAATCTGTTCTGAAATAATATATTTTGAACCCAGTAAATTTTTACTTCAATCCAATTTCAGGAACTATCACCATCCTCTACACAGCCATCTTATGCTGGCTGCGGCGATACTCTCCGAGAAGCCTTCCTTCGGCGTAACATCCCAGTCCAAGCTATAGATCTCATGTTGGCGTCACTTTCTGATAATACCAAGAAACAATACAGTGTATCATATAAACTCTGGTGGCAGTTTTGTAAAACAAATAACATGAATATTTTTGACAGTACGGTAGCAAAGATAATATCATTTTTAACTGAAGAATTCAATAAAGGTGCCTCGTACGGTTCACTAAATTCTCATAGATCTGCGCTCTCTTTACTTCTGGGCAATAATATTGGGTCCGATGAATGCATTAAGCGATTGCTAAAAGGAGCCTACAAACTCAAGCCAAGTAGACCAAAATACACTCACACTTGGGACCCACAGATAGTACTCAATCATATCTCTAATTGGTACCCAAATAGAGATCTTGAGTTGAGTCAATTAACAAAGAAAGTAGTTATACTACTTGCTTTGTGTACGGCACAGCGAGTTCAAACTCTATCGTTGATAAAGATAAGTAACATATATACCTCAGATGCTGGAGTGAAAATTTTAATAACTGACGTTATTAAAACTTCAGCCCCAGGAAGAGAACAACCCATACTTTATTTGCCTTTTTTCATTGAGAATAAAAATATTTGTCCAGCTACCGTACTTACAGATTATATCCATGTTACTAAGAAATTGAGAGACAAAAACAAAAATAATTTAATACTGACAATTAAAAAGCCTCACAGGACGGCTACAGCTCAAACGATAAGTCGATGGATTAAATTGGTTTTATCAGAAAGTGGTGTTAATACCTCAATATTCAGTGCACACAGTAC